TTCGATCCTTACAAACACCAAAACCCAATACCCAACTTTTTTAGATCAAAACCCAAACCTCAACATATGTTCATCTTTTTTCATCCTAAACCCTCATTTAATCCTTACAAACACCCAAACCCAAGACCCAATCTATTTTTTTGATCAAAACCTAACCACTATTCATCTGAGTTTATCTTCAAAACCCTCATTTGATCCTTTCAAACAACCAAACCCAAGACCCAAGATGTTTTTAGATTTAACCGACTAATGTTCTTATTCTCTAACCTGAAATCTAACCAAGACTCTTCTTCTTCTTCTGTTCATCTTTTTTAACCCTAAACTTAATCAAGACTCTTTTTCTTCTTTTGTTTATCTTCTCCAACCCTAAATCTAACTGAGACTCTTCTTCTTCTTCTGTTTATTTTCTTTAACCTTAAATATAACTGAGACTCTTTATCTTATGTTCATATTCTCTAACCATAAATCTAATAGAGACTCTTTATATTCTTCCGTCTCTGTTCATCTTCTTTAACTGATATTCTTCCCCTTGTCCATTCGAAACCTTCTTTTTTATATAGGGTTTCATGGATAATTTATCTTACGAGTTGAACTTTTCATGTTATTTTTTTTATTTTTCATTTATTTTTATATTTTATTTGAATTAATATTTTTATTTAACCTTTGTAGGAGAAAATCCAACATATCAAAATGAACAACATTCTGATAGAGGTAAATAATTTTTATTCGAACTAATAATTTTTTATTTATTTGTTTGTTTTTTTAATTATTTTGTATATATAATGTATTTACTAATATAAGTTTTTTAAGGGGATGCAAATGATCAATTGTTTGAAGCAATTGATACCAATAAATCCTCTAAGAGGAAGGCTACATGTTCATCTAAGTTTGGGAGGAGAACTTCTCCTGTTTGGGAATATTACACCTTCATCAAATCAGCTGATGGTTTTGTTTATTCCGAGTGTAAGTATTGCAAAATTAAAAGGTATAAAATTAATTCTTATATTGGTACTTCTAATCCTAAAAGGCATACTGAGAAATGCCAAGCTTATAAGGAATATCTTACTGAAAATCCTTGTATAGTAAGTTCTTTTGATCAAAACAAATACTATGAATTGTTTGTTGAGGCTATTCTGTGTCATGGTTATGCTTTGAGTAGGGTTGAACATGAAAAACTTAGGAATTTGCATCATTACCTTAATTCTAATGTGAAGGATATATCAAGGTATTGCATATATCGAGGAATTTGAGTATGGTTGGAGCATGAAAAGCATAAAAAATGCTACTTGATTCAATGCATTATGTTTTAAGTTGTATTTGTTTTACATGTGATGGATGGTCTGCCTGCACTTCACGTTCTTATTTTGCTCTTACTATACATTATGTTGATAATAACTGGAAACTTCAGTCTAAAATACTAAATTTTCACCGTTTTCCTCCACCCCATGATGGTGAGTCAGTTGACACTTGACAATGCTTATGCAAATGATAGAATGTTTAAAAGACCTAAAGATGATTTGAATGCAATTTCTCCTCTTCCCTACAATGGTAAATACTTCCATATAAGGTGTGATGCTCACATTTTGAACTTGATAATTCAAAAAGGTTTAAAGGTAATTGATTATTTTATTATTAAATTACGTGAAATTCTTAAGTTTATTGATTCTTATGACTCTTAACTTTGTGCCTTTGAATTAGCTGTTAAAGACTGTGATTCTTTTTTTTCATGGTAAGTTGTTATTAGATGTTCCCACTCGATGAAATTCTACTTACTCAATGATTCATAGGACACTTGAGGCTAGATTAGCCATAAACTTGTCCGTTAATAGGGAAAATGAGTTGGATATCATTACTAAGTATCTCACTTCTAACTTGTACTTGGCTAACGTTGTTACAATCGAAAAAGTTATTGTGTGACGCTCATAATGATCCTTGTGAAGATATTTCTGCAATGGCATGACCCATGCTTAAACTACATGAGAAATATTAGTCTGATCACTCAATGATTATGTATTTTGCTGTTTTACTTAATCCTCGATATAAATTACAACTTTTGAAGGATTTGTACAATGTTCTTTATGTAGAGGACGAGGTTCAGTGGATGGTAAGTCTCATTTACAATGAGTTTATTGAGTTATATATGTTTTATTCAAAAAAATGCACCTTGTGGTTCTTCTTCTTCTTATGTCCAAAGTAACACATTTTTAGAGAGCATTGGGTCAAGTTTCAATCGGCCTCAATCATTTAAAAAATCTGATATATTTCATGTTATTTTTTAGAATTTGATATTCAATTTTATTTATTTTATTATGTTTTCATAATTTAATTATTTTGTTTTCTTTATTTTTTTCCAGAAATTTGATGCCAAATTAACTGTTTCAAGGAGTCGACGATCAGATGTTGACTCCTACATCAGTTTGCCCCTTTTCTCTCGTACTGGAGAATCTGACTTTGATATTTTGGACTAGAGGAAAAATTAAAGTATTTCTTACCCAGTGCTTTCTCGCATGATGAGAGATATATTGGCCATTTTAATTACTTCAGTTGCATATGAATCGTCCTTCAGTATGGGGGTCAAATTTTGAACAAGTTGAAAGGTAAACTTTTACTTGAAAACGTTGAGATTTTTGTAACAACCCGTAATTGGTTGTATGATTTTGAACCAGAGGAAATGGATGAAGATTATCTTACTGTAGTTAATGATTATGTTATGTAAAGGTAAATAAAATATTTATTTTATTTTTATTTGAATTTCATTAATATTTCGAATTATTTATTAATGATTTTATTTTTAATTTTGTAGTATGTTTTATAGTAAGCCAAAACATTGGAATCAGTTTGTGAATGATTTTGTCTTGTTTCTTCCCTTTAAAGATAACTTCACTTTTATATTTATTATGTTTATTTAATTTTAATTTTTCAATTTTTTTATTAATGATTCTGTTTTTTGTAGGGTGTCTTACAAGTTACAAAAATCATAATGATGAATGCTTCTTGAATGTTTATGTCCTGATTCTGCTTGATATTGCTTGATTTAGAAATTTTGTTGAATGCTTGATTCTGTAAGGGTTTGGTAAAGTCGGAAATGTTTGGTACTGTTGGCCATCGTATTCCATTTGGTTTTACCACTGACTGGACACTTGTTGAATGCAGAAATGTTGAATTGATGCAACAAGTTTGCTGAATTGGTGCAATGCTACCTGCTGTTGCCTTTTTGTGCCTTGTAAATTATTGTTGGTCTGACTGTTGTAATTTTTTAAATAGTTACTCATGTTAAATTATGTTGGTGGCATTTTGTCTTTTAAAGCTGAAAAAATGCCCATAATTTAGTAATGTTGTCATCATTTAGATCTTTTGAGATAAAACTGAATGAAGTGATTTCTGGTAACAAAGTAATGCTTTTAGCCTTATAAAACTTTTGTTATAAGATCTGAGAGCTTAAATTTTAATACAAATTTGTTTTTTTTTTCATTTTATTGTATTAAAGTGTAATAAATTTTATGTTATTCAAATTATAAATCTCAAGTAAATCCATCTTTTATATAAATATTACCATTTTGAGATAAATTATATTTGCATTATTAATTAATTATTACATAAAACATAAATTAAACTTATAAATATTTAAATTTATTATTTAATTAGTAAATTATTTTAACTTTTAATGATTATAACTCATCTAAATTTATATTCAATAAAGAAATTATTTAATAAAATTAATTTAATGATTATAATTAAGATTTATAATATAAGAATCATAATTAATATAGTAAGTAAATTTATTAATTAAATTACCATGAGTAATAATTTATTTTAATATTTAAAAATTAATCACATAAATAAGCATGCTATATTATAAACTGAAAGTCATACAATTTCATGAAAATCTCATAATTTTATTAATGATAATTTATAAGTCAAGTAAATATAAAGTCAAGTAAATATCATATCAGTTCATTAACAGGTCGAATCATTTACATTTTGGCTCAATTACAGGTCAGGTTGATAACATGTAGGGTAATATCAGTTATTTATCTGATTAATCTCAAGTTTGGGTTCATTTCAGTCGAATGCAGGTCGGGTTTGATTATCATATTATCAGTTCAATTCGGGTTCAGGTCATTCTCAGATCAGGTACAGGTCGGGTTCAGATAAACAATTTCCAGGTCTAACTTGGGTTCAGGTAAACACTTATTTGTACTCGAGTCAGTTTCGGATCACCACCGCTCGGTTTTAATCATATTTAGCAGGTCGGCTCATCTTTTTACATCCCTAGATATAGGGATATAAATATGTTAAATGATTAACATTGAAATGGTAATTGCATATGTTTAGTGAATGATATTACAAATGATTACATATGTTTTGTATGCTGGGATTTTGATGTATGTTGGGTGAACATTCATGTTAAAATTTTGTTTATATATGTTTCTTGATGTTTAAGTAGGTTTTAGGAATTTCTTGAGGCATAAGAGAGATTGAATTTATATTTTAGGGTACTGAATTTTAAAACTAGTGAACTTTTTTTGGACACTAAATTGAAACTCATAGGGTTGATACCAAAATTACTCAGTTGATTTCGATACTGACCTAACAATTTGAAAAAATATTTTTTAATTCCCGTTTGATGAATTGCATTGTTTTGAAACCCTTCTATCTAATAAATATAACAAATTGGTCCTCAAATTAATTAATAATAGTTACTATGATTGTCTATTATTTTAATTTAGTTTTTATAAGTTTTGGCGTGTAACATGTCTATTTGGATTTACGATTAAATAATTACATGCTTATTTTTATGTAATAAAATACTCATTTTTCTTTTGAAATGATTATTTATTTTTCAGCACTTAATAGGTAAATTCTCTGCAAACAAATCTCGTTGTTAAGAAAGCTAAGCTTGGCCTGCTGAATCAGCACCCCGCGAAGGCCCAAACGTGAAAAGAAATTAAATAATTTCTGAGATATATGCCCAAATCATTTCACTCCCTTCCCTTGCAAAAACTCCAAAATTAGGGCTTAGAAAACCCTAACCGTATTCTGACCATATTCTCGTTTCCTTTCCCTTCAATTTGATTAGTGGCTTTTAATGACATTTTATATTTACAAATAGTGTGCCCTTTTGTTTTGTTCCTGATTTCCTTGAACCGACAATGGCGGAACACTTGGCTTCAATCTTCGGCACCGAGAAGGACCGCGTGAATTGTCCCTTCTATTTCAAGATTGGAGCATGCCGGCACGGGGACAGGTGCTCACGGCTCCACAATCGTCCGACGATCTCTCCAACCTTCCTGCTTTCGAATATGTACCAGCGCCCCGACATGATCACACCTGGAGTGGACGCCCAAGGCCAGCCCATCGACCCCCGCAAGATTCAAGAGCACTTCGAGGACTTCTACGAGGACATCTTCGAGGAGCTCAACAAGTTCGGCGAGATCGAGAGCCTCCACGTCTGTGACAACCTTGCTGATCACATGATCGGAAATGTGTATGTTCAGTTCAGGGAGGAGGACCAGGCAGCGGCCGCACTCCAGGCTCTTCAAGGAAGGTTCTACTCCGGTCGGCCTATCATTGCAGATTTCTCCCCGGTCACTGATTTCCGCGAGGCCACTTGTCGACAATACGAGGAGAACAGCTGTAACCGTGGGGGTTACTGTAATTTTATGCACGTCAAGGTAATTGGGAGGGAGCTGAGAAGGAAGCTGTTCGGGAGGTACCGCAAGTACAGAAGTAGGAGCAGGAGCGCCAGTCCACACCGATGGAGTGCCAGTCCACGCCACAGGCGTGGCAGAGAGTCCAGGGACCGTGACCGCGAGAGGAATGGGCGAAGATCTGACCGGCATGACCGTGAAAGCAGCGGTAGGAGAAAGCACGGGAGTCCTAGGCGAAGCAGAAGCCCTCCACCTGCTAGGGAAGGGAGTGAGGAGCGGAGAGCCAGGATTGAACAATGGAATCGAGAGAGGGAAGAGAAGGAGTAAGACAGCTTGTTTGTTTCTAAATTTTCGCTTCCCCCCCTCTTTTGGTATGGATTCCTACTTTTAGATTCACGTGATGTTTTTGTTATATGCTTCTGCAACTCTGTACTTGGATAGGACTTTTTTAAGAATTGAACTTGAGTGTTCATTTTGAACGATGATGGAACCATTTTTAGTTTTTCATGTTTTTTTTTTCTTGTACTGACAGTCATAAACGTGGTATATGTATCTCTGTTGAATACTTTTATTTTATTTTAGTCGATGGTTAAAATTCCAAGCTATTTTCTTCTCACTTTCATCTTTGTGAGGTTATCATTTCTTAAAGCAGATTACTTGCTGTTGCTCATAGTTTTGTTAATTTAATACTTTGTCTTTGTTGTTTTATTTTATGTTGAACTTGTAAATATGCCTCAGGCCGATCATATTTTACTTCCTTTAGCAGGGAAGAGCTACTGCTTTGCTTGCTCAGCCTCACTGCTACTGCCTTACGAAGAAGCAATCCTTCTCATTTTTTCCCTCTTTTCAATTATGATTATACACATTGCTTTACACAGTTTTAACTTGTGAATCAGCATGGGACTTGGGGGCCTTTTACTCTAAATTTGGGGAAGGGCTGCCTGGGTATTTGCATCTCAATGTTGCCGTCACTTACGTGCGTTGCTATGAATTTAATTATTTCATGGAATATCTAGGACAGAGACCTTCATAGAAAGAATTCAAAGATCATTTTCATTTGCCAAAGAATTCAAAGATCATTTTCATTTGCCAAAGAATTCCCTAGAAGATCATGAATTAAGCCTTCGGTAATTTGCACCCCACCATGTTTTCGTGTTCAAAACTGCCAATGTGTTCTTTTAAGTTGACTCTTTGTATAAATTGCATTTTTCTCTTGTTTCCTCGTGTGGATACTCTCCCTTGAATGTCTTGCACCTTCACAAGAGTCGATCAATGACCGTTTAGTTTATGTGCTTGAGAAATATTCATGACAATATCTGAAGAAAAACTTTGCTGGAATTATTCTGCCTTCTTTTGAGTACATTTCTCTCATGGGGGGAACAAGTGCGATCTTATCTTCATTGTACTTGCCCCAGGAGTTCAGGATCGAGAATATCCGGAAGCCAACGTCCTAATATTAACATGCATACATGTGCTCATATTACATTTTGCATGCATGAATGCACTTCACTTTAAGCCTCCATTCATTCGTGTTCACGGGAGAGAGATCCATATGAAATTGCACCTTTTTCATGTGATATGGATGAATGCAACCTAAGAGGCTAAGACAACATTAGAGATGTCCTAATTTCATGTGATTTTAGAATTAATTTAGCTAGGTAATTCTAACTTTCTTGTGTTAGTCCCCCCCCCCCTTGAATTGGTACTAATAAGATATAGTTTATAAATTGGCCATCAACAATTAATTTATTTATGGTTACAAGTAGCGAGTAGAAAATTATGTCATCAACCATTAATGTATTTTTGGGGTCATGGTTTACTGACGGAATATTAAATTATACATTTTTAATGGATCAAATATGTAACACCCCAATTGAAGGGATAAATTTAAGAAATTATAAAGTGGTGAATTTAATTAAAATTTTGGAAGGAAATTGAGGATTAAATTATAAAATTTCAAAGTTGGCAGACCGTTTTAAGAAGTACAGGAAATTCAGTAGCTAAACCTATGATTTAACCATTTTTTATATGTTGAATTATAAATCTCTTCCTCGTGCGCAGGCAGTATATTATTTTTTTCTAGTTTTCTCTTCTCAAACAACCCTCTTTTCAACTCTGATCTACTCATCGTCCGACCTCTGATCGACGAACCGAAACCACCATCGTGTTCACTGTTGACCGAGGAACAAAACTCCTCAAACCTTTCGTCTTGAATCGTCGTCGTTCGTCGTTAATTTCAGTCGGAAGTATCGTCGGTAATAACTCGATTTCAGTTGATTTTTCGTCGATTCACGACGATCCGACCATCCTTTTTTGACACCTCACACCATCGTGTTCCTTGCATCGTTCCGAGTCCACCGGTGTTCTCCGTTTCTCCGTCGTTGCCGGCGTGTGGAGGGGTGAGACCGTCAAAGTTTTCGACGTTTCGGAATCGAGCTCTCCGTCGTTCAAAATTGTGAACCGAGCTTTGTAAGTGCCTCGAAATCGCTTAAAATAATTTTAGGAAATTTTCCAGGAATTTTTCGACACCGTAGCACTGTTCACGCGCCACCCCCGAGAGTGGGCATCGTCTAGGTGATAATTTAGTAATTAATTTATGTTTGGGGTGCTATTTGTGTAAAATTCGGGTGTTAGATTGGTAAATATTTACAGAATGTGGCTAATTTGGTAATTAATTTATGTTAGGGTGATATTTGTGTAAAATAGTCGACTGTTGACCGTTGAACGACATTGACTAGAACTTTGACTGCCTTTGATCAGGCATTAAACGACCTTTGACTTTGACCGAGTATACCTATCCTAACATTTTTCGACGTTCCAAATCCGATTCCGCAGTCCGTTTTTCGAAATTCAGACTCGAAGGCATCGAAATTACCACTCAAACCCGTTGACTTTGATTTTGACCAAAAATTCCAAATTTTCAAAAAGTCATATTTTATGCTTTCGACGTCCTGAATCCGAAGTCTGTTTTGTCAAATTCGAACCCGGTAAGTTGGTTTTCACTGATTAATCACCTGATTCGATCCGTTTATCGTAATTAAGCCCGTTTTTTATTTAATTTATGTTGATATGTATATGAGGAATTATTGGAAGTTGAATTAAAGATCAAAGGCGTTCGAATGGAATTTTTATGATCGATCAATATGGCACAAAAATCAAGGTAATACTTTACTACCTCTTTATGCTTTATGGAACATGTGAATATTGGTAAATGCATAATTAAGATAATGTTAGTCTCATTCGTGTAGTTAATTAATTCCTACACTCGATCTGAATACGGTAAAAAGGTTCAGTAATTGATTATGGTTTAGATGATTAATATAGGGGATTGAGAGATTGTTAGAATCGAATTACAAGTTTTGTGATTAGTGATAAAGGAATTAGCCCTAGATCTGTAACTTATATGTTATATCAATAGAGGTTAAATATTAAAGGTACTCGGATGAGAAATTATGAGAATATTCTGATAAGGTAAAATTACGAAAATACCCTTATGTTGTAAGATGACAAGAATTGTCCCTGGAAGTTGGTTAATAACTTTGAAAAAGCATATTGATCTGATAAATTTACAGATGTGCATAAGAAATGCTAGTTTTGCTTAGAAAATTCGGTTAATCGGTTTTTAACCCCAAGAGGGTTTATGTGCGATACTAGAAGTCTGTTAAGGAATCATTTCAAGATTTGAGAATGTTCCAAAAAGAAATTAACCATAGGATCTCTAAATTATATTTATTTTTGTTAAGAGTAAATATTGAAATTATCTGATTAAGAAATTACGAAAATGCCATTGTGAGGTAAAATAGTCCGAGTTGACTCTGAATGAGGAAGTTCTTTAAGGATTCGTATTTAACTCGATTAAGTATATATTTGATTGTTAAGATCCTGACTTAGTGCAGAAAAATTCATGATATTCCGTTTGTAAAATCTGAGAAGACATTTGACCCGAAAATATCCGAGTTATGAGTAAATACCTAAAGAACAATTTATCGAAGGGTGCTCTTTTATCATTATTGTTCGAAGGGACTGAAATAGATGATAAATTGGAATTAAATAATAAGACCGGATGGAAGGAAAAGATTGAAATACCGTAGATCTATAAAATGACCAGAATACCCCTGTAATGGAAATGACCCAAGAATATCACCAAGCTCAGGAATGTTTGGATATCCTCGTGCTCTGAAATGAATGGAATAAAACTGAACACCAAAATTACCAAAATACCCTTATGACCTATATTAAGTAAATGTCTTGGATTAATTAAGGAATCCAAATAAGCATAGGTGTTGGACTACCTTTAAAAATTATGGAACACATCTTAAGTGAGTCGACCAACCTTAATGATATGGCAGTACCTGAACGGCATAAATATTACTTGAATGTGTGTTGTCTACTCAAGTTTGGCTCGATGATAATTTTGGAAGTATTCAGCTCAGCTCAACTCTAGATCGCATTCAGCACTAAGAATTGAATATTTGTTCGACAAATCAACCACAAAGACCGAATTGAACTAAACAGAAGTACAATATGTATCCGAAATTCAGAAATGTCTGAATTACTCTGGAAAACCCCAAAGTAACTGGAATAGACTTGACTGCTAAATAAGCTAAGTAACCTCAATGACTGAGGATTAAGTAAGTGAATTAGATAAGTATGAAAATTCTGATGAGTTTATAAGATGTACTGTCCTTATGGAACATGAACTACAAATCAAGCACGTCAGTATTTCATGATATCGTAGAAGCTTGGAAATGAAATAAAGACCATTGGAAGATCTATTCAGCGATGATTCTGAAGATGATCAATAGACAAGAATTTGTGGCATTAAAGAGTAAATACCCTGGAAGGAAAATGAATTGACCAGTCGACATAAATTGTTAAGGTTCTGAATCTTCGTTCTTAAGTTGTTCGATTATCCGATCAATTGACATGGATGTAAAGGATTTTGAATACCCTTCTGATTACGTACAACTTCTGAAAACTGTCCGAATAAGATATGATCCTGATAATTCACATTCTGAATAACTGATGATTCCGTCAGTTAATGAACTTTTCCAATAGTATTTCTAACTTCCAGTATTTTATCGGTATACTGAAAATCCGTGTTTCTCTGTCTGCTAAGATTATTCAGTACCTCTGAATAATATCTGTAAACTCTGGCGTGTTCCCTAATCATATAAATATTTTATCTGATTTCTGACTTGAATTTTGTTCTGATACATTATCTGAATTCTGTTCTGATTTCTGATATGGATTCTGTTATGATACCTGATCTGAATTCTGTTTTGATTTCTGATATCTCCGTTTACTGACAGAGAAATGTTTTATTTTGGTGGTTTATTGTTGGAGGAAGATTATCTGCAGGCTTTTCGGATGTGTGCGTAGGGCCTCACTGGTTGTGCGGGGTGGGGGTGTATGGTTCCGGGGAACCTACACAAACAGATTATGAAAGGATGGGGGTGTATATATATATATTTTAAAATAAAAATCTGTATATTTTTATTGGTTTTACGGGAACACACTAGATAGCCTATTCTGATATCCTGAACTCAGTCATTCAAAATATTTATCTAAACTGAAAGCTCATTGTCTGTTACCATCTGAAAAA